GCCCTTTCTGAGTGGCTCTCGGTGAGCTGGGATGCAAGACGGGCTCACCGGGCCTGCCCTGGCCTCCCTTCTCAGGCTCCACCCTGCTTCACGCCGCAGAGACCCCCGTGGGACCCTCACTACTCTGCTCTTCTCCAACCGGGAGGCGCCCCTCCTTCCCCTGCACCAGCAGGTCCAGAGGCAGCCCCTCAGCTGGAAGCCCCAGCAGCACAGACAGGCCCTGGGGCAGGGCCCAGGCAGCGTGGGCACACCCAGCAGGAGCCTGCATTTCCGGTCACCCCCCCAAAGGAGACCGCAGCTCTCACAGGATGGAATCCTACCGGCTTTGGGCTGAAATAAGGGGAGTCCCCCCTTTTTAATTCTTACAATAAACCTACAGCCAAGGCCTATTCCGGCCCCTTTCACATCCATCCTATTCATTCAGCCAAGGCGTGGCGTGATTGCCAGCCTGCCGTCCGGCCAGCTCAGTGCTGGGTCTGACTCCAGGACGCGGCGGAGTCCTAGTTCAAGCTTTAGGAGCTAACAGACTCCTGGTTGGGGTGGTTGGGAACCTCAGGGCAGGGAACTCATCCTTCTGGTTCACCGCCATGGCCCAGGCCTAAGAGCTGCGGCCCATAGTATGTGCATTTGCTAAGTGGACACACCGCGTGGTTAATGAGAACGGTGCCTACACTGCTAGTGAGAGTTAAGCTTACCCAGCACAGAACCCCAAGAAGGCTTCCTGGGGGTGTGGCTGTGAAATAAACTCAAGGTAAAGAGGTTTAGAGGAAAACCAGAATGTGAGAACCCCAAAATTCTAGAAGCTTAGGACAATCAGACCAGATCCAGATGATTTTCAATTCTGCCCTCTCTTTGATGGGAATGTTGGTGTCAGTCTGTTGGCGGGGGACAGTCTATAGGAGGGGGACTGGCCCCCAGGGGGGCAGGAAAGCATGGACTTCCTAGAGGGGGAGAGGGGTGAAGGATGAGGACCCCCAGCCCAAGGTAAGTGGGCAGGGTGGCCAGCCCAGGTTTGCTTGGCGGGCTCACAGCCTAGGTCTGACCTAGGCTAAGCCCATTTGGCTGGGGTCCCCCAAACCATGCACACCCTCTGCCAGAGGACCTCCAGGATAGCTTTCCAGGAGGAGGGAGGAGCATGAGATGGGGGTGAGGGGTGGACGGGGTTCACCTCCAGGGTCGAACCAGAGACAGAGACAGAGACCCCAGCATCTTGGCCGCCTGCCTTGGGGCTCAGCCAGCCCAGGAAACAGCCCTGTCAAGGAGGGCCTGTGGGAGAAGGCAGAGAGGAGAAGCACCACGCCAGAGGACCCCACCTGCGCCCCGCCACTCACCTGCCAGGCATCTCTCCTCCGCCCTCCTGCTTCTCAGAGGCTGGCACGGCCACAGTCCCACTTTACCAAAGCAGAAGCTGCAGCACTAAAAGGTTAAGTAAACTGCCCAAGCTCATACAACATGAAAATGGCAGAGCCCTGCTGAGAAACCGGCCAAGATCACCCAAGAAGTGACCCCACTGGCAGGCCGCTGGGCCAGGCCCCTGGACCCCGGGACCTGGCCACCACCCCCAAGTAAGTTCTCCCTTTCCACACTCTATCTGAACAGCAAATAGCCCCTGGCTACAGAGGCATGAAGCCCCTCACCTTGACTGCTGGACGCCCCAGGGTGGGAAGTCCCCACCCCTGAGGGACTGGAGACAGGCAGGGCCCCTGCCTGCCTCTCCCACCTCCCCTGCTCATCCTTCACACGACCTGTCTGTCGGCCCAGTCTCTATCTTCAGCCAAGAGCGCTGCACTGCAGCATGTGCCAGGACAAATGGGGCGGCCTCCTCAGGGGCATCTCTGGGCTGGGGCAGGCAGGACCTGGCTGAGCTCACATGACCCGGGACCCAGACCTGGCTTAAAAGCATTAGGCCAGGGAACCTGTGTCATAGCCCCAGGGCGCCAGCCTCCTGGCCTTCCCTCTGTCCCGCCCTGGTCACTCTGCTGGGCTCAGCATGGACAGGGAAGGAGCTGGAGACAGGAAAAGACGGGCTCTGGAGAAACAGTTGCTTCCCACCGTCCAGCCTGGCCCCTCACCATCTGGGCTCCACACTTCCCCCGTTATGTCTCAGTTTCTCCACCTGTAAAGTGGGGATGGGCATTGGCAACAACTATAAAGTTCTAGAACCTGATATGTATCCCCGTTTTGAATTTCTCGTGAGCACTGAGCCCTGGAAACCCAGGGACCCAGACAAAGAAGTGGGGGATGGCCTGCAGGAGGTTCCCTGCACACTCATGGCCCTGTCTCCTGCACACTCACCACCCTGGAGGAAACGAGCCATGTAGACAAGCCCAGAGATTATGGACTCCCCAGGAGGGTATGTCTGATAGGCTGGGTGTCAGGGAGGCTTCATGGAGGGGGCACTGTGGCACTGGGTCTGGAATGGTGAACAGGACTTTGGACGGCAGCGAAGACGGGAAAGTGGGAAAAACCCGATCTGTTCAGAGCAGGCGAGAAGCTCGGTGTGTTTGGACTAAGTGAACCCCCAGATGTGGCCGGAGTGACACTGAGCAGGGCTGGGGGTTGGCTGGGAGAGCCTTGAAGGCCAGGCTAGGGATTTAGGCTGCTTCGCTGAGCAAAAGCAGCGAGAAGCACTAGAAAGGAGACAACATGGAGATTGAAGGCCAAGTAGGAGACGCTGGAGAGGGCCCCAGGGGAGCATGAGCACCTGCGTGGTTTGGAGAGGAAGATTCCAGCAGCTCTCAATACGGGGATGGTGCAGCCATGTGGCTCAGCACAGAGATTCTGTGCTTCTTCGCCCTGGGTCCAACTCCCACCCTACTCCCCACTGGCTGTATGGCCTGAGACGAGTTTCCTTACCTCTCTGACTTTGATGTTTTCATGTATAAAACAGAGATCGTAAGAGTGTTGCCAACTTGGATATGTAAAAAACCAGAAAAGATGTTTGGTTCATCTAATGTTTATTGAGCATCTAATAATATCGCCTGGCATTATTCTGTGGGTAACAGACATAATGGTGAACAAACTAAAACTAAATCCTAGTCCTCATTTGCGGGTGTGCTCTAGAGATCTGGAGGATTCATTCAAAAGGATAAAAAGGAAGAACGCCTGAGGGTGATACGGGCACAAGAATTAGCAAGCAAGAGCGCAGGAAGGGCCTGGAGGTCGTGGTGGTAAAGTGTGACCACACGTGCGGAAGGGAACAGTCTGGGAGAGGCCCTGCCACGCGGCCATGGTCCGAGGCAGGAGAGTGGCACTGGGACTTTGAGCTGGGGGAACAGAGGTCATGGGGAGGGGCGGGGTGTCGAGGGAAGACAAGATGATGCCCGTGGGTGCTGGTGTTGCAGGGAGGGGCAGGGCTGGGGGCAGGGGAAGCCAGGAGCCAGACACTGAATAGCGCGTGTGATCGGGACCCTGGAGATGGCAGGAGAGGGGGGCGCTCAGCCGGAGGGCACCCCAGGAGAAGGGAGGACTGTTGCCTGAAGGCTGACGTTGTTCACGTTCTCAGTCACTCTCTATACCAATATTGCCGGCCCAAACCCCATTCTCTGGGCCAAGGGCTTCTCCAAGGCACCAGGGCCCCAGTGGAAAGACTGGGTTGGATAAGATGCCCTTGGCAAATTTCCAGCTCAAGGTGGACTGGAGCTGAAGTCTAAGGTCACCACCCATCCGGATGTGAGTTCTCTGAAGCTGTGTCCTCCAGCGCACTCTGGCCAGGAGGAGCGGGAGCGAGGAGGGCAGGAGTGTGGGTGGCAGGAGAAGATCCATTAGGAAATGAACTCCGCCATCTTGCTTTACCCGGCCCACCACCGGGGCCTGGCTTTTCTGGGACCACCAGGGCAGAGACTCCCGGGTGGAGACCACTGGCTCCTTATCTGCCTCCTGCTGTCAGTCAGTCTACCTGAGATAAGCCTGGGATGAGAGCTGTCTGAATAATTAAAAAGGCGCTTCAGGCCGACTGCCAGAGGGGGTGGGCGCCCCATCCCAACAGCCAGGCAAATAAATGCCACAAGAAAAGCCCAGGGAAAATGGACCTCAATTTGCATTCTGCACCCTTCTTTTTAAGACTTTCCCCATCCCCACCCATCTCTCCTGGAGTCTTGGGGCAGCCCCCAGGGTCATGAATACATGGCGGTATGTTTGGGGGGAATGAGGAGATGAATGAGTCAGAGAGGCTGTCAGGGCCGCCCCTCACCCCCACCCCATAGCCCCTGGCCCAGGCCTACGGGTTTGCTCTGCCTCCTAGGAGCGAGGAAACCAGTGGTGGTCAGTGACGGAGCTGTGTCCACTTGCGTATAGGCAGCTTGTCTGGGCAGGGCGTGGCCCGGGGGTGGAGGAGGCCGTTAGGGCCGTAGCGGGATGGCGGGCAGTGGTGACGGCACCTTGGACGAGGGTGCTGGCGGTGAGAGTGGAGGCAGATGGACACCAGCCTCCTCCGGTGGTTAGTCATGGGCCTGGGCCATCGCCGGTGTGGGGCGGGGCGCCATCAGCAGGCAGGAGAGACTCCCAGACTGTTGGGCTGCGAATGTGGAAGGAGGGTGACTCCCTTTGCTTTGACAGCTTTGGGGCGCTTCGCTCTCCCCCCAGGAGCCCAGCGTGGACTGGAGGGGCAGGTTCACTGGAGGAGCAGGGACTGGGGGCTGTCACTTGGTAAAGGTGCGGCTGGCGATAGGATCGGGTCAGAGCCCACGTCTCAGCTCCCCTCGGAGTAAGAGGGAGAGCGCCTTGGGGGAGAATTCTAGCTGGAAGTGCCCCCACTCGGGCTCTGGCCCTGGGCTCCCCGCCGCTGAGTATCTTTGGGCCTCAGTGAAATGGAAAATGTGCATCTTGGCGGGGACAGGCGAGGGCTGCGGTGGTCACTGCCTGGGGACCGCTGGGGAATGGGGCCACCATGCTCTACTGCCCGCGGGGTCTGAGCTGGGGCTGGGCTGGGAGCCAGGTGCTTTGCCCACATCCCGCCCTTCTTGTCTCCCGCAGGCCCTGAAGGCCGAGTGGCCAGCGGGATGCCAGGTCTGCTGAACCAGGTCACAGGGGCCGCCCTGCCCCTCACCGCGTCCGACGTCACCTCCTTCGTCAGTGGTTATGCCCTCGGTCTCACGGCCTCCCTGACCTACGGCAACCTAGAAGTCCAGCCCTTCCAGGGTAAGGACCCGGAGGGCTTCCCGGGGCCACCCCCACGTTCTGGATTTGACTCCCGTCCTGCCTTTACAGGCCAGTGGACTTTGGGCCAATCGCCGGCCTCTCTGAGTCTCAGTTCCCTCATCTGTAACGAAAGTCCCATTTCTGCTCGGCAGGCCCCCAAGGGAGTAGGCAGTCAGGGCAGGATGGGACCCCCACAGGATGGGGCCCCCACTTTGGGCACCTAGCCAGCTCACCTAGCACCAGCCACAGGCACAGCCAGCGGGGTGGACGGCCAGCCCTGGGCCTTCTCCAGGGAGCCTCACGGCTGGGTCTAGGGCTCCCAGGGAAGCCAGGAGCTCCCAGTCCTAGGCGTGACTCTGGTCCCCGTGACCTTGGGGAAACCGCTGTGCTCAGTCAGGATGCCCTGCTGCCTGTCTGGGTGCCAGGGTCGCAAGAGGAGCGGATGAGCTAATGCCTGCGGAAGGACGGCGGAGAGTGCAAACTGGTGTGTGAACATGAGTCATCAGGCTGGGCCCAGGGGTGCGTGGACGCTTGCCCGCAAGTGCTTGTAAATCAGACGCGTCTCCACTTAAGGAAGGCAGTTACGGGAAGGCTCCCCCGCAGCCTCTGTAAAGCCTTGCTCTGGTTTGGGGGGGTCCTACCCCCCAAACCTCAGCCTCTCCAGAGATCCCGAAACCACTTCCCAAAAGAAACTGTGGGAAACGCTTTCCTTCAGGAATCCCCTGGGCAGAGCAAATGCCCTAGTGGCTGTTTAAGGGAACCTAAAAGCTGAAAACAGACCCACCTGTGGGCCCAGGCAGCTAAATTATGGGGTAAAGTACTGGCAGTTTTCATACACAGACAGAACCAGGCCCCCAGCTCCATTCCCACTTACAGGTGAGACTCAGAAAGTGGGGAGCCAGGGTTTGAGGCCCCCCAGAGCAGGGGGCAGGTTAAATGGGATAGGACCCCGATCCTCCAGATGTGACCCCTGAACTCTCACCTCACTCAGGAGCTGGATGGAAATGCAGAGTCTCAGGCCCCACCCCAAAACTACTGAATCAGAATCCACATGTCAACAAGCTCCCCGGGGAAGTGTGTGCTCCTAAAGTTTGAGAAGCTCAGAGCTCACTGGCAGGGGCCTCTCTTTCCATGTTCACAAGGACATGTGACGACATGTCTGTTATTCCCATTTTACAGATGGGGCTTAGAGACACTAAACCATTGGTCGAAAATGATTGGGCGAGGGGAGGCGGCACAGTGGGCTGAGAAGCCTGGCTGCTTCTTCCAGAGCCCGAGCTCCTGGGCCCTGAGAGGCCTTTATCAGGCCCCACTTGGGTCCATGAAAATTCCAGAGTTCCAGTCTCCTGAAAAATCAGAAGCTCTGACCACATGGGCCTCACAGAGTAACTGTGGGCTGGGCTGGGGCAGCAGCCCCCTCCACGGCACCCCTGTTCTCACCGGGCCACCCCGCTAGCCTGAGCCACGAGGTCCTCCTTGACCGCCTCTAGCCGGCCCAGCTAGCGAAGGGCCAAAGGCTCAGTCCCTTCCCAGGTCAGGGCGTGCAGGGGGGCTAGGGCACCCCATGGATGCTGGGCCTGCTCCGGCAGGCCTCTTTGTGTACCCCCTGGATGAATACACAACGGTGATCGGCTTTGAGGCGGTCATTGCCAACCGTGTCGTGACGGTGCAGATCAAGGACAAAGCCAAGTTGGAGAGTGGTCACTCCGACGCTGGCCGCACTCGAGCCACCACAGTCACAGGTAAGGAGACTGGGAGGATGGTGGGGGGGGGGCTGGGCATGTCGGGCAGACTGCAAGGGTGGCAGTGAGGTAGGCAGAGGGAGCACTGAGCAGGAGTCAGGAATTCCCAGTGAATGCTGTGTGACCTTGGGCCAATAATTAACCTCTCTGAAGCTCACAGTCTGCAAAATAGAAGTAATCACTTCTCATCTCAAAAGTGTGGTAAGGACCCAAGGAAGCAGCAAAGGGCAAAATAACACAGCACCTAAATCAGGGGCTGTGGGCTCAGTAACACTAGGGTTTGGCTCCTTACGCTATTGTTTGCAAGTGAATTAAGCTTAGATGAGAAGTTAAACCTCACCTATAAAACAGAGCTAGTAGCTATCCACACCCAAAACTCAATAGAGAGCACTGTGCGGAGCAGACAAGCAGTCCTGGTAGGTACAAAGTACTTAAAGTGTCGCTACCGATACCTGCTATTGAGGCTTCTGAGGCTCAGAGAGGGTGAGTGACTGGCCCCAGGTCACACAGCCTGTGAGTGGCAGAGCCAGAGTTGGAGATGAGACCAAGTATCAGAAGATGTAATTCGTAAGATGCAAGACTGCCCTCAGGCTTTTAGGAATTTGCAGAGGCTGAAAGAATAGCCAGGCCCTGCTTTGGAGTAACGACAATGGTCTGGAAGTGTCAGAGAAAGGCAGGGGTTCAGGCTGCTCCCAGCAGAGGGTGGTCCTGGCAGGTGGCCTGGGAGTGGAAATGTGACCCTCCGATGGGGTCTGAACGTCCAAGTCTGCCCCTCTTATTAGGGGCAGTGGAAGGACAGACCCATGCGGTTCAGATCCTAGTTTACCGCGCGGCTATTTGCTGAGACCCTTGGGCACATCCCACCCCCCCACTGAGCCTGCTACCCCATCAGCAGAATGGGCTCCTCGCTCCTGCTTCTTGGGGGGACTAGCAATGACCCAGGCACGACTGAGTGCAAGTTTGATATTTAGGAAAGCTTTTGCCAGAGGGGGCCGCCGCCGCTCACTCCTGCACCCCAGGAAAGGTGGCTTTGGATGAGGACTTGGAGCGGATCCTGTTCGTGGTCAACTTGGGGACCATCGCCCCCATGGAGAACGTCACTGTCTTTGTCAGCACCTCCTCGGAGCTGCCCACACTGCCCAGCGGGGCGGTGCGGGTCCTGCTCCCTGCTGTCTGTGCCCCAATTGTGCCCCACTTCCTTAGCAAACACGAAGGCTCCTCCAGTCAACAGACCCCAAGGTAAGAAGCCCCAGGAGGGAGGGGACTGGGGGGGGGTCTGGGGGGGTAAGAGTCACAGGAGGGAGTAGGCATCTGCTGGGGTCGGGATATGAGAGGTGGGGCGCAGAGGTGAGGCCCTGCTCTGAGTCAGCGCTCCTCCCTGCTCATGTGCAGAAACTCTTAAGAACCTGCTGGAGTGTCCACACTGGTCCTGGCCAGAAGTTCTGGGGTTTGGGCAGCTTGTTCCACAATCCCCAGGCTTTATGCCGAGGGCACTGAGCGCCTCTGCGTCTGAGACACTGAACAGGTGTTAGGGATGCCGAGGGCACAAGGCCTACATGGCTCCTGCCTTCATGGAACTTGGTGGGCGATCATGATCCTGCTAACCCACCACTAACGTGGAACGAATGATCTATTACCTTGCGTGCATAATGAATGATCTGAAAAGTGCAGTGAAGATGTTTCTGGACTGAGAAGGTGAGCCAGCTGCCGGGGGCCAGGTCAGGCTTCTCTGACTTGTCAGCTGAGGGCTCATCAACGAGAGGGATGTAGGCGAGGCGCAGACAAGAGCAGCCCTGTAGTGAGGTCAGCAGGGGCAAAGGTCCTGGGGTAGGAAGGATGGGGAGCCAGAGAAGGCCTGAAACATGGGGGGGGGGGGGAGAGGGCCTTGCGATGAGGCTGCAGAGACAGGACACCTGTAACTTTGTCAAGTCTGAACTTCTTCCCAAGCAGCTGAGAATCATTACCCTGGGGTCTCAGCAGGATGGGGGTGGGGGCATGATACACCCCACACCAGGATAGCTTCTCTGTATTCCCTGGTGGGCAGGAGAGGACAGGAGGTGGGTGGCAGCCTATCACACCTGCACCTGCGGTCAGGGTTCCTCCCATGCACCCCCAGGACTGAGGAGGAAGAGCAATTTCTCTGCAAGGAGAGAGGACCCCATTTTTAAGTAGCCGGCCAAGTAGAGATGTCTTTTGAAATACTTTATCTTATTCAATTCATATGAATTTTAAAAACCTATTCTACCTTATTTTAGCACCATTTAGTATAAAAATAATACTTGACAAGCGTTACCAGTTAAACTATTTAACGCCCCCACCCCAAATCTTGGAGCCAGGCTGGAATCTGGGAGGATGTGGTATTTATACCCAGAAGATTCACATGTACCTGGAAGGACTCTGGGAACAGCTGGGACCCTGTCCCCACAGGAGGAGCTAGGGACACGCAGGACGGTGTCGGCAAACTTCAGACGCCACCTGTCCAGGTGCTGACGTCAGCCCCAGTTGGCGAGGGCTGCAGCCTCCATGAATAGCAATGAAACACTTGCAGGATGCCAGGCACTGTTCTGCGTGCTGGTGGTACAGAAGCAAACGAACACAGGACCCTGCCCTCACGGGGTGACATTTTAGTGGGGGAGACCAGCTAAAGAAACAGCCCATAAGCATGTAGTAGAATGTTGCTAATGTGGTTGGGCTCATCTTGGCTGGAATAGAAGGGGCTTGGGCAACATTAGAAGCCTGGATGAGGGAGACAAGCCAGAGGAGCAGGACGTGCAAAGGCCCAGGGCCAGCAACGGCAGCAGGGAGCGTCAGGAAGGCTAGTTAGGCTGCAACATGTTGGGAGAGGGGGCGCTCAGAGAGTGGAGGAGTCAGTGTTACAGGCCCTGGAGCCCTGCGCTGGCGGGCTTGGCGCGGCCGTGTGAGCTAGTGATTTGCACCCCATGTCCCTCCGTGTGTCGGTGGCTGTGCCTCCGGTCTGCATTCAGGCTCTCCCTGGGTGAGGTGGAGCAGGTCGGGGTGGGAGATGCTCCTCGTCCCCTTTCCTGGGACAGAAGAGGTGCAGGGCTCTCCTCATCCCTCACGCTGGGCCTGCCTCGTCCCTGGCTGCCTCCTTCTCCTCCTGCTTGGCCCCGGTCCCAGCAAAGACAAGCACTGCTTTGGCACCCGGGCCCTGGACTCCTGGAACAAGTTGTGCCTGGCGACCTTCCTGGACACGGATGTGTCCAACCCCATGGAATACGAGTTCAACTTCCAGCTGGAAATCCGTGGGCCTTGCCTGCTGGCAGGTGAGAGGGTAGGGCCCAGAGAGGAGCCCCAGGTAGGAAAGGGAGGGGCTTCAGGCCTGAAGCTTTTTTGGGGGGGGGGAGATGGGGGGCAGAGGCGGGCAGGAGGCCCACTGTCCCCATGGAAGACAGCCTGAGCACATAGGCTCCTGGTCCCAGAACATGCAGCCCAGATGAGCACCTGCTCAGTGGCTTCTTTCAGGCAATACCCAAGGGGGCCAGGTGGTTCCCCGACCTCTCCCTGAGGGCACAGACACACAGCTGCTTCCTGGTTTGCACCTGGGACTTCAACCCACCCCAGACCTTCAGAAAAATTGGCCTGGGTGTGACCTGGGGGGCTAGGGGTGTGTGTGGGAGAGGCTGGGTGTGTCCTGGGGGCTGGGTGTGACCTGGGGAATGGGTGTGTCCTGGAGATGGAACGTTAGAAAGCACCCCTCTTCCCACGCCCCCAGCTGAGAACCACTGACCTGTTGGTTTGCCTCCCAGCCCCCCTCCCGGTGGGCTCATCTGCGGGTGCCTTCTGCACCCTGCGAGGAAGCAGCTCCTTTGACCCCCCCCCGGAGCGTGTGACTCGAGCAGGGGAGCCCATTGGACCCCAGCTCAGGCTCCCGTTGGGCAGGTGGGGAAGCTGAGGAGGCCCGGCCACGGGTACACAGCAGCCAGGGCCGCAGTACCGTCCTCTCCAGTCTGGGTCTCCGCGTCCGCGCCCGCCCCGACTGTCCTGAGCCCTCTAAGCCTGCCCTGCCTTCTGTGCCACCCAGGGGTGGAGAGTCCCACTCACGAGATCCGCGCCGACGCCTCCCCCTCCGCGCCCTCGGCCAAGAGCATCATCATCACGTTGGCCAACAAGCACACCTTCGACCGGCCCGTGGAGATCCTCATCCACCCCAGCGGTACGGCGGGGCCTGGGTGGCCTGTGGGGGAGGCGGCGTCCCTCCCGCGGGACACAGACATGTGGCCCTCGGCCGTGTCCAGACAGGGCAGGTGTCACAGAAGAGGAAGCCAACGACTGGCCTCCTGGATGGCCGGGCTCTCGCCAGTGGCATCACCTGGCTCCTGGCTCCATTTTAGCTCCAGAAGCCTCAAGGGCACTTTGTCCCCAGCAGGGGTCCTTGAAGCCCTAAATTCAGCGAGACTCTGGCAGCACTGAACCCTCAGGAACAACTCTTTTGCCTGAGAATTCGGGGCCCTCCCTAGTGGTGCAATGGGTTAGGACGCAGCACTGCAACCTGGCCACAGCCGCTTCAGTGCAAGTTCGGTCCCCAGCCTCATGGGTGACCCACATGGCCCAGACTTCTCTAACCCACCCACTGCTCCCTCAGCAGTGTACTCCATCAATCTGCCTGTTCTGCTCCCCACTCTGTCTCTGGTGAAGACTCTCAACCTCCCCACACCCCCGTACCTCTGACTGGTTCCTCAGTTCTTGTATGTATAAATAAATAAATCTTAAAATTTGGAGAGTCCAAATCTGAAAAAATGAGCGAGCCCAGCTCCACTCACAGATAGGTAAACTGAGGCCCAGAGCCACTAGGTTCTCCTGCCTCTGGGCTGAGGAGTCTGCCATGGCCACCCACTGCCAGAGGTTCCACCACCCTCTTGTAATTGGGAGCTCACCAGCCCCCAAGGACCCTGGCATCACCCTCACCCTCTCTGCAGAGCCCCACATGCCACACGTCCTGCTGGAGAAAGGGGACATGACCTTGGGAGAGTTTGAAGAACACTTGAAGGGAAGAACAGATTTCATTAAAGGGATGAGGAAGGACAGCGGTGCGGAGCGAAAGGTGAGGAGCCGGTGTGGGCAGCCTGGGTGGCCCCGGGACATGGTCTTCGCTGCCCAGTGAGGACACTGAGCCCGAGGTGGGGGCAGTGATTTGCCTGAGGGTACACGGCGAGATGACAGCAGATATTTGTTCTTTAATGCATAGCATGAAATCTCTTATTTCTTTTAAATCTTTTAAATCCATTCAAACAAAATTTAGTGATTTACCATTCATTTACAAAATGACATCATTTCAGGAACACAGCTTCCCACCTCAGTCACTCACTTGTCACCAAAGTTCTAGTGTCATTACACTATCTCAGGGACTCTCTCTACCCTTTCTTCCCTGTCCCCTTTTGCAAGCACCATCATCTTCACAGAGTTTGAAAGTTATTTTTATTGTGTTTTACTAGTTTGTTTTCTTTGGCTATTTATATTCCACAAAAATAGCAAAGCTGTCCAGTAACTGTCTTTCCCTCTCTGACATTTCATGGAGCATAATCCCATTTCATCCATATTGTCACAGAAAGCATGAGTTCATCCTTTTTCATAGCTGAGTAGTATTCCACTGCATACATATACTATTTACTTTTTTGTTCATTCAATAGTCGATGGTCATTTAGGTTGTTTTTGGGTCTTGGCTTTGGCAAATTATGCTGCTATGTCTTCATTTTAGTGTTTCTGTGTTGTTTAAATACCTCAAGTGGTATTGCTGAGTCCTATGGTATTGCTATTTTCATTTTTGATGGAATCATTCGATTTCCCACAGAGACGCATTTACATTCCCACCAGTGAATTAAGAGTTGCTTCTCCTCCATACTTCCACCAGCACAGGTTGCTTTCTGCCTTTTGGATACAGTGAAGGCAGATCCTTGACATGAAGTGCTTCTTGTCCATGTTTCCCATGGGCCAGGGCATTCTGGGGCAGAGGGGGAGTAACCCACCAGATGCTGCAGCACCTGGCTGGTCCTCCTGCCAGCCTCGTGCCTCAAGGTGCCTGAGTCAGGCTAAATTCTAGGCTGGTGGCAGAAACAACCTTGACCTCTGCCAGGCTACTCCATCCTCCCTGGCCCCCAAGACCCTGTGCTGGGTGGCCTCCCAGCTTCTCCTGTACATCCTGGGCTGTTCTCACCACTGAGGCGTCTCTTGGTCTTCCTATTGTATAAAGACGCTTTCCTCTGCCCTCCACCTCACTCATGACCCCAGAGGAAAAGGAGGCCTCAGTAGAGGGCTGGATGGGGGAAGGATCGGTGGGATGCCGAGCCGACAGCAGTCTCTGCTGTTATGGCCTACGTACCAGCCTGGGTCCTGATGCCAAGATAGTTTAAAGAATGATGGTACCCTTCTCTCTCCCTCCCCACCCCCTCCATAGATGGGAAAACTGACCTTAGAAAGGTGAACTTGGTTACAGAGAAGACTGTAATCTTGGGAGCTGGCTTTTGTGACAATGTAGCTAAGGAGTTGCACTCAATCATGCAGGGCAGTTAAACTGGATTTAATAACTTGACCCCCTCTTCCCCCATTTCCTGCTGACCCGAATGGCAGAGGGTGACGATGACAGGTGGGGGGGAGAAGTTGTATGGGACCGGGAACACGTACATGGCTTATTGCTCACGTCACCCTCATTGTTACGGAGCCCACTGGAAGCGCCTACTTGAGGGGGAAGGTGAAGGGAAAGGTGGATGGTTCAACGCCCAGCACATCATCCCCAAGTTAGAAACCCCACTGGAAACACTGCCATCCCAGAGGGGCTTCCCACTCGGATGAGTCAGTTGGGAGAAGAGGCTGGAGCCTGATTCTCAGAGTTGGGGGTGTCATCACCAGGGGTGCCACTGAGGTCTGAGACCTGCAGTATGCAGACAAGGGTGTCCCAAGCATGCAGCTAGGACCCCTCCCACCAATCCTCAAATCCATTAAATCTGGGCCCGCTAAAGCAAATGAGAATTAACTTGCCACCTTGTGTTGGTTATGCAAACACGCTGTGTTCTCACGAGCTCCAGGGATGACAGCCGCCAACCCGAAGCTGCTAAGCAGAGATGAGCTCACTGAAATTGGATAATGACAGCTCCAGGAGACAGTGGAGAAGCCCGAGCCAGGCCACCCCACCCATCCTTCTGAGAGGCGACAGTCAGGCTCTGGAGGTGGCGCCTCTCGCTGGCAGATGCCGCTGTTGCTGCTTGGGTCGGCTGTCAAGAGAGCAGGCTGGGCAGTGGCTCCTGGCAAAGGAGCCCCGTGTGGGAGGGAGAGCCCCGTGTGTGTCAGGGAGGGAGGCGGGCATCCAGAGGGCGAACATCAATCAGAAAGAGTGGGTAGAACAAGCTGTCAAAACCTGATTTAGCACAGAGGGGGCAAGTGACACCGAGGGAAACACTGTGTACAAGAGGGAACAGTGCAGAGAGCACAGAGACAAGGCCAGTTGCACATCCATCCGTGGTAGACAAAGGAACCCCACAGAGTCATTTGATTATTCGTTCAACAAACACTAAGCGCCCAACAGATATCGGTGCCAAGGAGACAGCACTGGAAATAACACATTCTTGTCCTCAGAGTTTACCTCCCAACGCAGGGAGGGAGCTGAGAAGTGGGCCAGAGAGCCAGATGGGTGTGGAGAGGGCAGAGGACGGAAAGAGAGAGCAGGATGCTAGGGTAATGGCGGTGAGCCAGGCTGAGGGGACCGGAGATGTCCATGGAGTGTCTGAGCGTGAGACTTGGTGGCTGATGATAAAGTGGCAGAACATGCAGAGACCAGGAAGCAGGACGATGTGACATGTTTGGGCATGGAAAGGTGGGTGGTGTGGCTGGAATACGGGGAGCAGAGTGGGCAAAGATGAGAGGGACGGGGGTGGGGGGCAGGCTCAGGGGGCTTCACGAACCGCGGTGCCGCCATGAGAGGAGGCTTCTGGGTTAGGTGAGAATGACACCGGCAACCGCTCTGGCTGCTCCGTGTAGGACGGAGCGCAGGAGTTTGCAGGTGACAGGAAGAGGCTGGCGAGAGGTGAGGCCGAGGAGGCCAGAGGCCTGGGCGTGGTAGTGGCCGCGGGCACAGAAATCGGGATGTATTTTAGCTGCAGAGTTGCTAATCCCGTGCTAAAGGAGCCGATGAGGGCGGGGGTGGGGAGAGGAGGCAAAACAACTTCTTAGTCTTTGGACACTTGGGCAGGTGATAATGTCACCTACTGAGTTGGGGAACGGACCCAGACAGACAGACTTAAACAGAGACAGACAGACCCAGGCAGAGACCCAGACACAAGTACATGCAAAGGCAGTCAGGGAGAGACAGGAAAAGCCGGGGTGGAGAGAGAGCCGGAGTGGCAGTGGAGGAGGGAGACGTGCAGACAGGATGGCGAGCTGTGAGGGTCAGCTGCGGCCTGTGTGCGAGGGAGCGGAGATTGCGTGAACAGCTACAGCGCTGCAGTGCTGTGGCCTGCGTCGTGCGTACGAGTCCATCTCTGAGTCGGGCACCAGGGTGAGTCCTGGGGATGCAAAGTCACCCAGACAGGACTTGCCTTCAAGTAATGTGCAAGCTAGAGGGGCATCAGAGGGGTGCCTAGGCCCCCCCAAAAACAGCAGCAGCCGCATTTAATCCACCCAAGCATGAGGCTGTCGTCCAGGCTGCACTTCATGGGGAGGAAACGAAGTCAGTAAGTCCAGCTGGAAGATGGCGCAGGCTTTCCAAGGAGCAACAGGGCAAAACTGAGCAGGGGAACCAATCTCACAGCCACAGAGCGCCAGAGAGTGTCTTACACACAGTGTGAGCAGAGGACCCCTGAGGGCCGGCACAGACGCAGGCCAGGGCTCCCACCCACGTGCCCACTCAGAGCATCCTAGGGCCACCCTGAGACGTAGGTGATATTTGCCCCAGTTCACAAATGAGGGAGCAGACCCGGCGCAGAGGCACCTGTCCAAGAGGACGCAGCTGGATGGTGACAGCGGGGGCTCAAACCCAGGTCTTTCTGCCTCCAAAGTCCATGCTTGCTGGGGACAGCGTGGACCCCCAGAAGTAGCTTTGGGCCCACATGAGAGCATGCCCCTTTCTCCTCCAGATAGAAATCATCCGGAAGCGTCTCCACAAGGACATCCCCCACCACTCGGTCATCATGCTCAACTTCTGTCCCGACCTCCAGTCGGTCCAGCCCAACCTGAGAAAGACCCAGGGGGAGTTCATCTTCCTCATCGACAGGAGCAGCAGCATGAACGGGACCAACATCCATCATGTCAAGGTACCGGTACGGGGGCCCCTCCTCCCGGCCCCGGCTCCAGGTGGGCCGCCTGTGCGCCCCAGTCTGACTCCCCCAGCACTCCTGCTCCAAGTAGCTGCCCTTCCACACCTGAACCCTTTTCCTAAATCACTGCCCATGGCTAAGAGAAAAACCACCACATTTTAAAAAGCAGTTTGTTCAGAGACACCCCCACCCCCAGCCCAACTCGCTCCCCAAAGAAGCCCCTGAGGCATAAGCAGCGATTGAACTGTGCTCTGCTCACAAGAGACGTGGGCATGCAGCGATCTCTGGCAAACTACCAGCATTTGTTACGTGCCTGTTCTGGCTGAAACACCTCACTAGTGGAGGAAGAGAGGGGTGCGGGAAGGAGAGAAGAAAACAGAACTGTTGAGTGTCTATTCTGTCAGGTCCTGTGCAGACCCCCTCGGTGTTTAATCCAGACAGTCATCCTGTGAGGTCATCACCCTTTCCCAATGGGAAACCCGATCCCTGGAGTTTGAGTAATCTACTCAAGGTCACGCAGCTAGTGTGGTCTAAAATTAAGCCCTTGTCTGACCGCTCCTGATTCCTGGCCTCAGACGTTCATTAAATGTGGCCCCTGCCATCAAGGCATGTGTGGAATGCAGTAGGAAAGATTTGTGTCACCTTTTCTTTAAATGCCTGTTATGTCCAAAATCCTGTCTTGGGGCCTCCCCGGTGGTGCAGGGGTTAAAGACTCAGCACTATGGAGCTGTCACCAGGCACTGTGGACTGATTTCAATCCCCAGCCAGGGAGCTGACCCACATGCGTGGCAGACCTCTCCTGTCTTGCCCGCTGTTTCCCTCAGCGGTGTATTTCAGTGGCTCCACCTGTTCTGCTCCCCACTCTGTCTCTGTCTTTCACCCCTTGCACCTCTGGCTTATTCCCCAGTTCTTGTATACATAAGTAAGTAAAACTAAATCTTTAAAAAAAAAAAAAAAAAAAAAAAACCCTGTCTTGGCCAGCTCAAAAGAACAGATTATAAGCACAGTTCCTGCCCTCAAGGAGTTCATGTTCAAGTTCAGCAGACAGCCCCGCTGACCAGTCATGCCTGGGACCTGGTGTCACTGGGACTTCTGAAGGAGGGGCAGAGGAAGAGGAGTGATGCCGTCCCCATATGCCCAGAAGTGTGTCATCTCCCACTGGAGATTATTCACTCCGATTATAGCGTTGGCCAACTCTCCCTTGTATTTTCAGTTACGCAGCTGTCTGCTTCCTTCTCTGAAGTTCTGAACTCATTAAGGACAGGACCAGATCCCTTTTCATCTCTGTCTCCCCATGGGGCCTAGCTCTGTGTTTGTGCATAAAAGGCCTTCAGTCACTGTTTATTAAACTGGGTAACGGACCAGAGTTCAGAAGCACAAGGGATGAGAGAACAGAGGGTTCTGCTGTCACCAGAAATTTCATCTCTCCCCCTAGTTTGTCCCTGGAGCAAACTCTTGTTTCCAGGGCAACAGGATCAGCAAGGAGAGGGAGGGGCTAGGTAGGACACCAGCTAACCCCTCAAGCTTGTTATGACTGAGCTTTGTCTTGATGCTTGATGGAGCAATGGTATATGAAACCCTAGTTCCTGTGTGGAGGGGTTCAGGACTGGATGATAACCTTCTCCTTGGCTTCCCACTAGCAAAAGCTTGCATTGGGGGTGGGGAGCTGTCCACAGCACTAGAGTGCTGAAGCAAATGGCCTGTGTGTACTCCATTCTATAACTGTACCAGTTTGTACAAATGTCTGTTCAGTTGTTCTAAAGTATCATGGAACCAAAAATCTAAGATATCTATTAGAGGACATTTACTCCCTTTTTCCTGCCACTTGCTAGGTAAGAAAAGTGATTTCCTTGGAGGCTACGTGTTTTTCCAACATCACATGGCTAGTAAGGGAGCCTGAGTTCTCCATATCTTGGCTTAGTGCTTAGAGCTCCTTTCCCCTATGTCTGTGTGGGGGAACTATAATCCTCTCCCACTAATAAAAGCTCTCTTATCTGATTATGTCATTTCTGATGGGTGGCTTAATGGAATGAGCAATGCCTGGTTCCAGGATCAATTCTGCCACTGATTTGCTATATGACTTTGGATAAATTAATTCCCAACTCTGGGCCTCATTTATCCTTTTTGTAAAATGAGAAGGAAGGAAGATTAATTCAGGGAGGGAAAGCATTCTGTCACATTCGTCTGTTCCCCTCTCCGAAGTCCAGGCAACCATCAATAACCTACTGTCACATTTTCTTTTCATGCTGAACCTGGACTCAAACTCTATATCTTTCTAATCTTGGGGTTCTGGGCAGTTGCTTCCAGTGGAAATACATTTCCTGAATTAAAGGTCTTTCCAACCTTTACGTTCCAGAATTCGCTGACAATAAATTTCGCTGACTCTGCTCTCCAGCCCTTTCCTCTTGGAGTCTCTCTCTGTCTTTTCCAGTTCAGTTCCCTGAACTGAGCTCAAGGTCATCTCTTCACAAATGCTTTTTCATTGGCATAATCCATCCTGCTAAACACACACACCCCTTTTAAAGAAAGACACAGAAATTAGTCAGGCCACACACTTTTCCCTACTGACAGTGAGGCCATTAAGGGGATTGTGTGGGTCATTAATTGTGGCCCATTAGGTTGACATTTTAGGAAAAACTAGGCATGGGGAGGTAAGAGAGAATAGGATCCAAACAGTCATACCAAAGAGCAAAGTTCAGCCAATACAATTTCCGGCAGCTTGTCTCATTCTTAAATGGCCACTGGCCGCCAAAGCCATGGTTCTGAAATTCTAATAGGTGTGAGCAGAGATGAGCTGTAGAGATAAGCAGTGTCTTCCAGCAGGGGTATACATTAGTGGCTAATGAAAAATATCAGATATTGACTTCTTTTGTAGAGAACAGCATGTATGGACACAAGCAACAAAGAGACCGAGAACATTCCTGTTTAGTGTTTCTGTGGGGGGAGGGACAGCAGGTAGGAGTGGGAGTCCCTGTGGTGTGAAATTTATCAGGATGTGTTCAGGGCTGTTTTCTTCTAGATTCTGGAGTTTAGCAGTTTGTTTCCCTGAAGGTGTGCTGAGACCCCCGGGGTGCCGCCAGAAAATGGGGTGCAGGAAGAGATCCTCATTCTTGAGCTCAGAGACAAGGTGTAGAATCAACGTAGAGAAAGGTCTCAGAGCACTGCTCTGAAAGCCTCCTCATTCTTTGGGTTTTGACCTAGTGTAACTGCTTCATGTGCTGACCTCAGTCTCCCTGTCTGTAAAACAGAGGTGGTAATACTACTCATCGCTTGGGTTGGTAATTAATGATAACCTTTCACTGAGGTTTTATTACCTGACAAGCTGAGACTCGGAGACTGAGTGACCTAAGTAGCCCAAGGTCAAGTGAGTCATGCCACGGTGAGATTTAAACCCAGAGTGTTTAAATGTCAAGCGTGTCTCTTAACCACTACACAATCATATGTTATAGAGCCAAAACGAGATAATTCATATAACATGTCCAGCACAGAGTCTGGCAAGTAGAACTTGCTTGATGTTTATCATTGTATTTTACTCCCCTCCTTCAGTATCATCCATCCTGTCCTCTCCTCCACCTTCTCTCTGATTTTTTCCAATAGACCTTTCTCAAGTGTCCCCTTGTTGATAGTAAACATGCTAAGGCTCTTTGATGTTCACAGACCCTGGAGGCAAAACAAAACGTATCTGAGCCTCCGCTCCCTGTTCAGTACCTGTGCTCACCCCTCTGGGCCTCTGTTTTCTCTTGTATAAAATGGGATCCTGTCATGTCTGCCTCAGAGGGCTCTGATGATGATCATGCGGGGTCAAGGAAGCAGAGCACACCCTGGGCATTGAACATAAAAGAGCGTTCCGGCCCCGAGAGATCTGTCCCTGGCTCATAGCAGCTGTGTTGCGTCTGACACAGAAGCCCCTGGCTGAAAGACGGAAGCTCGTTCCATCCTGCATGACGAGGCCACTTGTGTCCCCGAGACATCAGTCTTGTGTTGGCAGCAGAGAGTGGGTGCTCCCTGCTCTCCCTGCCCCCCAGGGTCGCTGGGAGGTGAATGGAACCAGCAGCCTTGCCACACAGATGAGCTTTATGTCATTGGCTTTGGTCCAGCCTCTGATCTGCATCAGCAAGTTACCTGGTCCTGGGGGACCAGGCAATTTGAGGTGCAAACAGAGCGGTGACAGTCCTGTGGGGGTGGGGAGTGCTTGCGTGCTGGAGCAAGCACATGGGCACAGAGGAGGCCCAGCTCCTCCCCCATCCTGGAAGCCCCTTTCCTGCCTTCAGGATGCCATGCTGGTAGCTCTCAAGAGCCTCATGCCGGTGTGTCTCTTCAACGTCATCGGGTTTGGATCCACATTCAAGGCCCTCTTCCCTTCCAGTCAGACCTACACTGAGGTAAGAAGGGGACCAGCTCTGAGACAGGACTGGGTGGGTGACTGCTAAGGGAATTACCAGGCCTGTGTCAGAAGCTGCTCACCGCAGACACCGAGAGGGTGCCGGGAGCGGAGAGCTAAGCACGGCCCGGAGAGCTGTCTGACATCTCAGTTGACCGACATCCCTCCTTTTTGGGCGAAGTAACAGCGAGGGGGTGGAGGGAGGGTATATCCCGGGCCCACCACTGGGCCCTGCTGTGAGGACGATAACTGGTGCAAGCCTGAGCTAAAGGAGCAGCAGAGGGGCGAGGTGGGCAGGGGGCAGGGCAAGAGTGAGACACCCAAGGCTCAAGGCTCAGTGTGGAGCAAGAACACGGACCTGGGCGGCATGTTCAAAATCAGGCCTCGCGCCCAGCCCAGCAATGGGAAGGAAGGGGTGGGGGGCGGGGGGCAGAGCTGGAGGGTGAGGGGAGGATGAGGGGCACTTCAAGGAAAAGTAACTCTGTGGGGATTTTTATATGCAAACGCCAAATGTATTGATTGTCCCACGATTTTTAAATCCAGTGATCGAAAAGGATTGTTTCAAAATCTTCTCTGATCACATTAGTTAAAAAGGAGAGAGAAGGAAAACCAGTGAGGAGCTTAGTATAAATCCATGCAGACCTTATTCTAAGCATTTACACACATTTCCAACAAAGTTGGGATTAGACCTTCTGTACAGTTCTGTGACCTATTTTTCTGGCACAGCAGTCCACGGCGGATACATATGAACGTTGCGATTAATCTCTGACGCGATGTTAATAGCAGCCTAGAGCTTTAGGTACAGATGGGCTGCAACTTATTCAGCTAAACCCCCACACTTGGCTATTTCTGTTGTTTCCATTTTTTCTCTAGTCATCTTTGTAGCAAAGACTTTGCTTCTAGCCTTACTGATTCCCTTGGGATAAATTCCTAGTTTTGCTGGTTCAAGAGGGCATATACGTTTTAAGACTTTTGATCTATGCTGACATCCAAGCATGGAGTTGGAAGAATACCTTCCTGAGACAGGTCCAAGCAGACAGCTGATGTCCAGGGAGAATCTGTCCTTGCCACCCAGACATCCATCCCGTGCCAGAAATCCTTGGCCAGTGGGCTCCACCATATTGGCCCAGGAGGGAGGGGCCCGATGCCCAGACAGGGAACGATTTCCTCAAAGCACCCTAGGGAATCAGTGCCCCAGTCTGGCCAACATTTCCAGTCTAGTGGTTTCTCGTGTTTTCCACCGGCCCACCTAACTCGTCATCAGAGAGAGAACCTGCATTTGTGCAGGGAGGTAGGAGCTGGATGCGTTACTTTGTCCAGGAAGGACAACGGTGAGTGACGACACCATAGATGGTGGCGTTTCAGGCCTGGGTGAGGGGTGTTACTGGGCACACAGAGAAAACTAGCCACCTGTTCTTCGGTGCCTGGGGCAGAGATGACGCGGGGAACATGAGTGAACCCAGCGGGGCCAGGCTAAGACCTCGGAAACAAGGGACTCGTCTTCCAGGAGACTTGAGCCTGTGCCCTGTGGTGATCGGGGCCGTGGCCCTCCCGTGACCTTCCTGCAGGAGAGCTTGGCGCTGGCCTGTGACACCATCCAGAGGATGCGTGCTGACATGGGCGGCACCAACATCCTCTCCCCGCTCAAGTGGGTCATCCGCCAGCCGGTGCACCCGGGCCACCCGCGGCTTCTGTTCCTCATCACCGACGGCGCCGTCAGCAACACAGGGAAGGTGCTGGAGCTCGTGCGGAACCACGCCTTCTCCACCAGGTGGGCACTGAGCGGGGCTAGGCTAGGGCTCGGCCTGCCCAGGCTGCCCTCCTGGGGCTGCCAGAGCCATGGGAACCAGGGAAAGGAGGACCCTCTAGTGCTTTGCTTCCTGGACCCCGTGGACGACTCTGCCCCACCACAGGAAGTCCTGCCTGCTCTGTGACTCCGCGCTGGGTGGGAGTCGGGGGGCTGTGTGGGTGAATCTCTCGTGGTCCCTCTTCCCTCTCCCTTGCCCCCTGCCTGCAGCTAGGGCTGGCTCTGAGAAAGCGGCTGGATCATGCTCTGTCCTTTTCCTGTCGGGAGCAAAAATGGCAGCCTCTCTCCTCCCACCTCCCCGCCCACCCCCAGGTGCTATAGCTTTGGAATTGGATCCAGTGTCTGCCACAGACTGGTGAAAGGGCTGGCAGCTGTGTCCAAGGGCAGCGCTGAGTTCCTGATGGAAGGGGAGCGGCTGCAACCCAAGGTAGGCCGCAGGCCCCCTGCCCTTCTGGGCTGAGGCTTCTGCAGCCCAGACCAGTTGTAGAGCAACTCAAGGGTAAGTCTGGACATCCACCCCAATCTTAGCTCTCTACTGGCCACACTGCACCCCCAATGTGAGCCAGAGAGCTGAAAGTCACAAAACAGCTGACCCCTAGGTTTGGGTCACTACATTGTGGGCTTCACCCACTGGTCAGGCAACATCAGGGGCCCTAAAGGTCTCTTGGGAGTGGATTTGTGTTTGGCGCCATTTCTGGCCACATTACTAATGGTGTCACATGGTGATGGCACAGGAGGATATAAAAGGCCCCAAGTCAAAGAGGCTACTGCCCTCTCTATTTCCTGCACAATTAATTCAGCGCTTAGAAAACTCTTAAGTCCATCCAGGGCCTCCAGGAACCAGCAGCAGAGATGTGGTAAAGAGAGGAGGCATGGGCCCTCCCCGGTGGCGGAACGGGTTGGAGCACTGCACTGAAGCGGCTGCGGCCAGCTTGCAGTGCAAGTTCGATCCCCAGCCCCGGAGCTGACCCACGTGGCGCTGCAGACCTCTCATGTATGCTGCTCCCCTCAGCAGTGTATTTCAGTAGATCTGCCTGTTCTGCTCCCTGCTCTGTCTCTGGTGAAGCCTCTCACCACCCCTGCACCTCTCACCTATACCCCAGTTCTGTGTGCATAAATAAATAAATCTTAAAAAAAAAAAAAAGATAGGAGGCTTATGGCAGAGGTAGAGGCAATATTTATGAAAAAGTAAAGAGGAAGCAGAAGTTCAGACTCTAGTTCATGATACAGAAGCATCACTTGTGAGCAGAGAACAGGTTTGGTCAGACGGCCTCAGACTGCAGGGCAAACCTGCAAGGGTGTGGCCATCCCACGGGCCTCTGGAGCAAAGGTTGCTCGTATGAGCCCTGTGAGGCCGTGAGAGGCCCTGTGAGGCCAGGGTAGTGCAAAGAGTACCAAGCCCAGTCATGGCCTGGGGCTCCCAGGGAGGGGTGTGGCCCGGCCTCAAAGGCTGGGGCGCTGTGTCTGGAGACTTGCCACCTAATTGTATTCCTTGCAGCACACAGTGACAAGTCTAGAGACTTCTAGACACAGGGCCCAGCTTTTGTGTCTTCCTTGACACAAAAGCAATTTGAGCGGGGACTCCCATGATCGCCACAATTCACAAATCATTTTTCTCCAGCTTCAGAGTCCACAGACATCAGCCTCCAGACACTAAGCTAGCACTGATTTTACTGCTTCTCTGCAGCAAATACTTCCAACCCAGTATTTCAGATAATTCTCCAGCTGCATTAACTTCATTAGTGAGGATGACCAATTCGCTTTACTGGAAGGGGAACCTGAGAGCCAGGAAACAAATTAACCTGCACAAGGTCACCACTGCAGTCCCTGCATTGACACAAACTCTGTGTCCCAGGCTAGTCACGGTCCTACCTGGAGTCTTAAACTTTCCGTTGATGAAAAGTTAAACTTAGAGAAGATCTCTCCAAAGCTGACCTTCTGGGAGTCTAAGCAGCTCGCAGTCATGGTCACTGCTGGGCACGGCCATGGTCACTGCTGGGCAGGCCTGCAGTCCCTTCTCTGTCACACCCCCTGTGCTCTGACCCACAGTGTTTCGCGCCTCCTCTGTGCATCCGCCCCACTCACACCCATGTTCTGTTCTCCCCTCCAACAGATGGTAAAGTCCCTAAAGAAGGCCATGGCGCCAGTCCTGAGTGACGTGACTGTGGAGTGGGTGTTCCCGGAGACCACGGAGGTCCTGATCTCGCCTGTGAGCTCCAGCTCCCTCTTCCCTGGAGAACGCCTGGTGGGGTACGGCATTGTGTGTGACGCCTCCTTATACATCTCCAAGCCCAGATCTGTAAGTACTTTGGAAACTCCAGGTCAACGGGACCCATAGCCCACGCCAGCTTTCCTAAGCTGGAAGGACTCTTATGGGCAGCTGACAATGAATGGGATCTGGGCTCACTGTTGTGGGGTGCAGCTCCCCAGCGAGGGGTGTTTGTGACACTACTTGGGTGGTGCTACTATCACGTGTGGGTCTCAAGATCCTCTGGAGCACGGAAGAGTCTGGGAAACATGCTTAGAAAGCAGAGTTCCCGCTCCACTCAGGTGTACTAAGAATCTGAGGGTGCGGTGCAGGGCCCTGCATTTTACATGACCTCCCTCCAAAATGACTTTGTTGAGCAGCTCCTCTCAGAGCAACTGCACTCAGGTTTCTTTCCTTGTACGACTCCCCTACAGTGAGTGGGTGTCTTATTTGTTTATGGGGATAATTCTCTAGTACGTGGTGGCAGAAGTGGGCGGAAATTGGGGACCTGTTCAAAGGGAAGTAGAACTCTTGCTAAAAGCTGGGAGATGGCCTACAAAAAGCTTATGCACCCACTTCTCTCTTCACTGCCCTTGCTGGCGGTTTTTGTCTTGTTTATTTTTAAGCAAGAGTCAAGGTCTAGGTGGTACAACATGAGAGAAATGGACTTGCAAAACCAGAAGGGAGCTGTGTCAGGAATGACTGGGCCCACAGTTAAAGAGGCCGTAGGTGCGCTGAAGACGGTGGCCAAGCGGAGAGAACCCCCTCTCTAGAGAGGACAACCCCTACGCGGCCCCGCCGGGCCCGGGTGCCATGTCACACGTGTTTCCACTCTTTCAAGAGAAGTGCGGACTTCACGTGACATTTCTAGCCCAATGCTGATGTTGCCACAGCAAAACGTCTTTATGCTGCGTGTGCATGTGTCTATGTTCATACCCTGGAGAATGCAACAAAAGGAACACGCGTCCCTCATGTTACATGTGTGTGTTTAGAGGCAGGAATGAGCTATAGAACTCCTTTTTTTAAATGTTTAAGTAAACAAATAAGTAAAAATGCAAACCACACGCATGACATGAAAAGTCAGCTCTACGTCGGGTCTCCTACCAGAAGTCTAAATTTCTTTTCCCTACTACTGCGGTCTCTCTACCGTTTTCCTCCCACCTTTTTCCCTTTAGAAATCTCCGCTCGCCGATGCCACTCCCACCTTTGCACCCTGCCTGTTTTGCCCCCCCAATAATCTGTGATCGGGGCCGGTCCCCGACACTCTACCACTTCACCCCACACCCCTGCAGCCCCGCCGCCTCCTTCCTGACTCCCAGCCCTCTCTTCTTCTCTCCCCGCCCCGGCCCAGGACAAGAAGCCACGATACCACACGCTGCACTCCCAGGAGTCCAGCAGCTCGGTGTTCTACCACTCACAGGACGAGGGCCCCAGCCCAGACAGCGGAGACTGCGCTGGAGAAGGGCGCTCAGGAGCCCCCGTAGGCCTGAAGCAAGCCAGAGGTGCCAGGCCGGCCAGCGGAGACGCCACCTGCAACAGCGGTGGGTCCGCAGCCCCCTCACCCCGCTCCTTCCCCTGAGCCACGATTGCTACGTTTTATTGATGGACTTAATATGTGGTAGGCTCGATCCCAAATCTCATTAAATAGCAACTGCAGAAATGAGTGCTGTTAAGCCTATTTGACAGATGAGAAAACAGATTCGAAGAATTTCAGTGCCGTGACTAAGCCCATGAAAGGGGTGGAGGGGCTGTAAAGGGCCCCCAAAGCGCCTGTATGGTGTTCGTGGCCATTCGGAGAGGTGCTACTGATCATCCACTAAGACTGTGTGCCAAGCACAGTGTAGGGGAGATGGCAGGGGGCAGGGAGGACGCTTGATAACCACCCGGGGAAAGTCACATCCGGAGAAAGACCTCCACAGAGAGGCAACGCCCGCTCAGGTAGGGGAGACTTCAGGCTACGTCCACGGCCCGAGCAAAGATTCAGAGATGTGAGACCTCGAAAGCACATGCACCATTGTTCACTCATCAGTGTGCTTAAGCCAAGTGACCCCTTGGAAAAGCAGCAGAAAGCAATAGCTGGGAAGATAGCTTAAGGCCAGATTAGACCAGGCTCTGCGGCATCTGTACCTATTTGGTGGGCAAGTGGAGAAAATCTCAAGTCTCCAAGCAGGGAAGGAATCTAAGCTGGTGCCCACCCTGATGTCTCCCATGTCACCATCCCTGCCCAGGTCCAGAACTGTCCCAGCGACGGCGGGCCTATAGCACCAACCAGATCACCAACCACAAGCCCTCCCCAAGGCCCCCCACAACCAGTGACCCCACCATGGCTGCCAGGAGATACCCACTAAGAAAAGCCAAGCTGCAGGACCTCACCAGCCAGACCGGCCCTGATGCCCCTCAGTGGCAGATCGATTTGCAGGTACCCCGCAGGGCAGGGTGGAGGGGGCAGGCCATGGGTGGGGAAGAGCTATATCTCCGTTAGCCACAAGACTGCTCCTCTCCCCCCACCCTCCTGCCTGACTTCTTTGCCAACCAAGTCTTCCGCCAACATATGGGCAGCCGCATGCGCATTCCTGTGCTCGTGTGCACATACACTCGCTGCAGCCTCTGACTGGGTGCAGGGCTCCATTTAGCCCACCTGTTGCCATGGAGACTCAACAGCTGCTGTATCTCAGGGCCTTGGTGACGGCACAGCAGGGGCAGTGGGAATTCCCGTCTGATGACCCAGGATTCCCTGGGACCCCACAGCCCTGTCTGGACGCCAGCTCCCTCTGGTCATCCTGAAAGTGGCTAGTCGCTTTTATTTCCCATACCTTGTACCCTCCCAGGACCTTAGGTCTCAGGGAAGCAGGAAAGAAGACCCCCGCCCATGCCCCCAGGAGCCCCGTCTCATGGGAGGCACAGTCCCCTTCCCGAAAAATACTTGATGGAGGTGACAAAGCCCCATGGTTAACTGTGGGCCTAAAGGACTGAGAGAGCCTTTTTCCCTGTTACTTCTATTACATGCTTTTGCTCCCCTCTCTCCTCCCCCTTTCAAGCAGAGCTGTGTGTTCCCAGAGGCAGATAGTTATTTTAAACTAACTCAGTATTCTTTAATTACAAAAAGCAATGCACACTCAGAGAACGGAACAGTTGCAATTTACTTTTTAAAAATGTTTTATCTTGGCCCTCTTCCCATATTGATATGAAGAAATCTGCCTTTCCCTGCAATGCTCTGCCATGCCCCCTTGCATGGCTGTACCAGAACTGACTGGGCAGCCCCAAAGATGGGTACCATGTAGTTTCCAGATGTGCCCTTTCATTGACAGTCCTGCCACACAGGCACAGAACTCACACGCCGATGGTGGCATCTTGTGTCTTTCCGCCACACTGAGTTCCTAAAAGAACTGCTGGTCAAAGGCACTTGCACGCTGTGGGTTGATGGTGCACCCCTAAATTGTCCCCCTGCAAGCGTATTTCAGTGCACATTCCCACCACAGACCATGAGCAGTTCTCCTCTCCCGTGGCCGTGGCACCTCCAAGCATTAAACTATTTGCCAGTCTGCAAGATGAAAGAAAAATCATAACTTACTTTAATTTAAATTGCTCTCATTTTTCACTGGGCTGAGCCATTTTTCATGTGTTTATTCGATCTTCTTTATGAACTGCCTTCAACCCATAATTCTATTAAATTTATCCATCACCTCCCCCCAGTGATTTAGAAGAGTATTTTCTTGAAAATGATCTTTGTTGTACGTGTTGCAAATCCATTTCCCAGTTTTTTCCCTGCCTTCTGATGTTCTGAAGGACAGACACATGAAATCTATAAAATAGAACAGAAAGTTCAGAAATATAGCCAGCTGGACCGAGAGCTTTGTGGAAAAAGAGGTAGTGGATTGATAAGCTCGGTGAATGAACTGTATTCAAACAATGAGATTTGTGGAGTATTCAGAAAAATCCAGGGAGGCTGGCTCCTGTTTCCTTACACCAACATAAATTTCTTACGAGTCAAAGATTTAAACAATCAAAAGCAAAAACACAAAAGTTCTAAGTTTTGGAGCAAGAGAGGCTTTTTAAGCAAAGTTATGAGAAGACATAAGGAAAAAAGATTGATCATTTAATCACATGCAAAGTTTTAAACTATAACTATAAAAAAAGTGAGTTTACAATTGCTCCTTACAGTTCTTCCCCATGGTTTGGCTCCCCCAGGGCTTGAGATTATCCTGTGGGTGTTTGCGGGGGGTTCTGCAAAACCAGGCCCTAGGGGCAGCTACAGCTGGTGGGCGGAGGCTGGGGTCCGTTGACGCAGACAGCTACAGCTGGGGGGGCCGACACTGCAGGAGCCCAGCCCCCCTTTCTCTTGCATTTCCAGCCTTTGCTGAGCAGTGGCCACAACCTGAGCCAGGGCCCCAAGCTCCGAGGCCCGGGGGCTCGCAGGCCCTCTCTGCTGCCCCAAGGCTGCCAGCCCATCCTGCCCTCAAGCCAGGACACCCAGGCCTGGAACACCATGAAGGCGCAGACTCTCGGGTCCCACACGAAGCCTGCCTCAGACAGCCACAGCCCCGGGGACCCAGGTAACCGGCAGAGAGGTGCAGGATCGTACTGGGCACGTGGGGCCCTGGACGCCCAGGGGCAGACGCCTGTGTTTGTGCCCTGGGTGGGGCTGCTGGGAGTCGTCCCGCCCTGGACACTTCACTAGTCTCTCCTGGCAGCCTGCCTCTTGGTCTCCCAGAGGTCCTCTCCCAGCTGCCAGAGTCCCCATTCCACCCTATTTGCACCCCTCCCAAGTACTGCCTCTGGGCGGTGGCTCTGTCCCACTCTGGTGACCAGCCCATGCCGCCCCACCTGTCAGGGAAGGGGCTGTCTGTACTTGAACTGCGCCTGAGACTTTACTGGCTGAGGTGTCCGCTCCCTGGGAAGGCCCAGCGTCCTGGTCTCCCAGCTCGGAGCTGTTGTTCCCCCTGCAGAGCCGCCCCATCACCCCTTCTCCTTCGAGACGCCCAGCTCAGACTGGGACCCCCCAGCAGAGCGCGAGCCGCAGGGCAGCCCCAGCCGGCCCTCCACCCCCAGCCCAGTGCTGGGCAAGGCCGTGGTCACGGGCCTGCGGGACAGTCAGCGTCTGCAGTGGGAGGTGAGCTTCGAGCTGGAGCCCCCTGGCCCCGAGCCCGCCGGCGAGCGCCCCTTGGACCTATGGAGCGAGACCTTCCACCACCTGGCGGCCCGCGCCATCATCCGCGACTTCGAGCAGCTGGCGGAGCGCCAGGGCGAGATCGAGCAAGGTGAATGCCAGGGCAGGCCGCCCTCCCCGGCTCTGGGCGTCTGAGCCGCCTCATGCCCTCTCCACCCCACGCCCCACCATCTGCCCACCCCGCCCAACCC